GCAAGTGCATTGTGGAAGAAATATTAACTGCGCATGTGCACAAGTAAAGCGCTGCTGATTGCGCTAAGCATTCAGGGTAATTCCATTAGAAAACGTGTGGGGGAGGTTTTAAATCAATGTATCAAGAAAGAAAGAATGCACCCATTGACTGCCTAAATGAACTTTATTCTCTTGAAAACATACAGATATATCACAAATAGCTAACCTAGAATCAGTGAATGGCATCCTTATTCATGGATTTTGTAATTTCTGGACGACAGACGCCTCGCCATGGCATAGGCTCATCAGGGCTTAAGACCGGATGAGCCAAAAATTGCTATTTATTGAAATATTGTTACAGTATTAATTTTTGTACTATAGGAACATTTTTTGTGTGAAAAGCAGTAGGTTGCCATAAACTTTTATTGAGATTGTGTGAGCTGCATCATAAAATAAAGCCATACAGTAATATGGTCAAGAAAAGTTTTAATCAAAGCCAACTATTTTATAAGATATGAACTGCCTTTTTTTGACAGTACTGTAAAACCATTTATTTTCACTGGCGTTTAAATTCCACTACTTTGATGTTTCGAGCGATTTCACTTGACTTTAATTTCACGAACTAAACAGGGAATCAAAGAATTCTATTACATTGTAAAAAATAATAGACAATACTGTTCTGATAGACCTTGGTTTGGTTCTGGTTGTCTCCCAAAAAATGTCTCGTTATTCAAAACATTGCCCAAGGCGATCTTTCAGATAAATATTATGATAAATTAAAGCAAAAAAAAAATGAGACTTACCCACAAGTCATGTTCAGCAAAGTCAAAGAGTAGCCATACTTTTCTGTCAGAATGAGACAAGAATACTCTCTTCAAACTGATCACATTCGGATGCTTTAATTCTCTGAGCAGCTAAAAGGGGTTCATATAAAAACATAGTGAAAATATTGTGACCTTGCCATGTTTAACAAGTCATTGCTATTGACAAGTCCCCACACAGTTTATAGGGACAATCAACATTAGCACCAAATAATTATTTACACTCATGTGATAGTTATGATACAAAGTGAAGTCAGTTTATTTGTGTGATTCCTTCTTTTATTTTGCCATGACATCCATAATGCATTACTAGCAAGAAAATGATGATCAGCCATCTAAAACATGCATGTGCAAATGTATCACATGATGTATGTGTAAAGTTTAAACACAATCAGTCCAGTCATGTTTGCAATATGGCTCCGAAAAACAGCATTCGTTAAAAACAAAATGGCCATCAAGCAGCCATTTTGATTCAAATTTAGGACAAAAACATGATGTGCATCAAACACCCATTATGTTTAATAGACATGTCAAGTTTGAATGAAATGTGTGTCCCTGTACAAGTAAGACGTCCAAGAATGGCAGAAATGCTTGATTTTGATGAACTTTTATCACTAAAAAGGCCGCAATTCGACTATCTATATTTGGGTCATGAAACAAATGCATGTGGATATGTACGATATAATGTGTGTGTGAAATTGAATGAAATCGGCCCAGGCATGTCTGAGATATACATGTAGGTGTGAAAAGACGGACAGCAGTGAAATTACAAGTCTACATTTTCCGAACAGGGACTAAAAAATAATGCATTACAGGTCAAAGTTCAAATACAAATACCCTGGACTTGATAAAAATCAAACTTTGTCAAGACCATATAAATGTATGTAACATAATTAGATTTGAGAATGAGTTGTTGTAAATAAATATACATAGAAATTTACTAATCATGTTCACTCAAAAAAAAGTTAACTGGCCTATGTTGTACTTATTAAAGAAATACAAGGATTTCATAATCAGACTTGTTTTCACATCAACAATTTCTTTTCCAGTTTTGCAAATATGGCAGTTACTGCATTCATGTGTCTATTTGCTGACCCACAGATAGACAGTGTTGTGGGTGACCATATATTTTTGTCTTTAGCGCAATTAATTATCAATACTTGACTCTTTGTCATTTTGCATATATACATGTACACTGTACATCATAATAATGTACATACAAACAGAAGAGTGCCTAAGAGGTCAACAAATTATTCTCTTGGAGAAGTATCTCCAAAATTTTATTAAAATAATTTAAAAACAAATTTCCAGAACAATTGTTAACCATCTAATTTCTGTCAAAACAATTTTTTTTTTCAATTTTCCTATATCAATTCAACCACCTGGTAGTAAATAGCCACAGCTATCAATTGTATTTGTCACGATTATGACAGCTTACTAAAAATAGAATTACATAAATACAGAACACATTACAACACAAGAAAGACTTCAAATGACGAAAAAGTGTGCAGATGGTGAAGACATTTTTAAAGTTTGTTACCTGAATAAAGTCCTTGAGATATAATGTCAAAGACACAAAATTATACGTCTATTTTAGTTTCTGTTTTCTCATTTGTTTTCCCAAAATCAAACGTCTGCATAAATAATTAATCACATGATGTAATGCTAAGTGATGTCATATGAAACATGATATTCTTGCCCAGGGGTTTTCTAAAATGGGGAACTGGCTGGTGTCCTCTTACTGAATTGCTGATTGAATTTTCAAGTCATAAATATATTTCTAATATATTTTTCTCCATAAAAACATCCCAGCAACACCAGCTGACAATGTGTTTGGACACCAAATACACTAAAATTACTCTTAAAAATATTTAAATGGAGATAGATGCACAGTTAAAACGGTGCAAAAGCCTTCCGATATGGCATCGCTCCGCTCCCTCGCCTATGTGTGCTCCCTCTTGTTTATTTTTTCCAGAAAAAACCATGTTGCCTATTATGACATTTTTTTTATGGGAAATAATATTTGTAATGATTCAACAAATGTAATTTTAGTTTTTCTCTTACAATTGAACAAATATTTTAATTTTTCATGACCCATTTCAATTAAAGGATTACGGTTGTTGGATTTACCTCAATTTCTCTGCAGGCAGACATAGATATTCCGGTTCCTTCAATTAATTTCAATGCATAGTACTTAGTAGGTTTTTCATCACTTGAAATGAAAATAAATGATGAAAATGTATGAATTAATGTACAATCAAAATAATTTAGATAGGAATCAATTGTGTTAATGAACAAATTCAATTGACGACATGGTAGATAATGTCCATCTCAGTAAATACATTGCTTAACATGTTTAAGTAGAGATGGCTAAGTTGTGTTTAAAATCAATGTAAATTTGTCTATATAGTTTGGTATTGCAAAATTAGTGTACACTCTTTCATTTGAATATATATATATTATGAAATATATTTTGTGTTCTGTTGAACGTTTTACATATTTACTTTATTCATATATTTATTTATTTACATATTTATTTATATATTTATTTATGTATAAAATCGTCACCGGGTGACTGTGTCCGGACCCCTCACAGTTATCAAACAGGTAACCCAGCCACCTTCACGTTTCAATGTCAAGACAAGGTCACCTTGCCGATCGAACCTTGAGAAACTCGAGTTAATTATGGGTCAGTAGAGTTAGAACCATTTTAAAACAACAATTAACACTAGAAGAAAGTCATACCCGTTCTTTTTTCTTTTTGCTTTGTATACATGTCCATATGTACCTCTTCCGACTTTCATTCCATCGAACTCAAATTCATCTTCAACCTTCTGTCGCTTAGCAGCCGCCTTGGACTTGAAATCAAAGTCCATCGTGTTTTTCTTCGATAAAAGAGTGAAACATGTATCAGAGACTTGCTGCACCTTTTTCACTTTCCATTATAGTCCACTGAACATTTATTTTCTACACAGAAATCCTAGAATTCGCATATTTGCGAACAAAGCCTTTTCTCATTCATTGCGCCATTTTGGGTGTAGATTGGTTTGTTTTCTAAAACTCATCTCCAGTAAAGTTTATACGAAATAATTTTATAACTATAAATGAAATCGTTGATTTTTTTTAAAAGTTATAAAACGTGTAGAATATTTGTATAAATAAATGTACATTTGTTTTTTTATTTTATTTTTCGTAAAAAAGTTTAATATTTGGAATTAGACTGTACTTAACCCGGAAGTGAATATTTGGCGGGAGTTCAATTTTCCGGTCTTATGTTTACAAATAATTCGTCGGTAAGTATCTTTCAATTTTACATCATTCACAGTGCTGTACATGATGGCACGTCATTATACACGTAAATATCAATATCTCAGATCCAGTGTATCTGGTGGAGCGACATTGTGTGATAGAATGTATTTTACTTTTTTCTAACTTGCTGAAGTTTACGTATCAAAAAGGCACGCAAGATCGTTTCACGCAAAACAGTACATTACTGTCGATTACCAATTTTATTTTATTGTTATTTTACCGAAAATCATTTATTGGGTTGTACGTGACACATTTTTCGGAAGGAGTTTTATTTGTACCCCACCCTTAACACTAACCCTACCGGTACCCCTACCCTCTAGTGCTACCCAATTTAATTGCATACAATGTCTTCCCATGGATGTACTAGTACATCCATGGTCTTCCTAAAGACGCATAGTTATCTAGTAGAGGGGGCATATATTAATTAAATTGGGGTGAGGGTTAGAGTTCAGTGGCGGATCCAGGGGGGCAGATGGGCATGCCATGCCTCCCCGCAAACGATCATTCATATCATCTGGATTACGCATAGCTTCTCTGCGATTTACACTCTTGGACCCCCCCCCCCCCCAAATACATTTCCTGGACACCTTGACTCAAGGTCCCTGGACACCTTGACTTGGGTACCCTGGACACCTCGGCTCGGGGTTCCTTGACACCTTGACTCAGGGTTCCTGGACACCTTGACATGGACCCTCGGACACCTTGACCCTCGACCTGATCTCAATGCGATAGGGCTAACAATCTTGTCAGCTTAGTTTCTGATAACCCTACCTACCAATATTCTTATCTAAATAAGCTAGGTTTTATTCACAAAAAAATTTTGGTTCATTTATATTTGTTGATTTAGTGGATAACCAGACCAGACTTACATTTGGTAGCATGCCTTGTTATCTGCTCGACGTCAACGTGTGTTCAATTTATTGGCAAAGCATGCCTAGACATTGGAGAGCAGTCACCTGATGGAACTCTAGGCTAACACTTCAGTGTTGTCTGGATTATGCAGTTAACAAATATTGTAAAATGTTGAATCAGAGAAAATGAACCTGCCGGTAGCATTCAATCTACCGGGGTATTCATTCTAAAAATTTGTTTTATGACAAGTTATGCAACAAACTGAACATCCCAATGATTATGAAACAAATGTATTGTTTTACTTGGTAATCGTTTAAATCATATTATATAGATTTTTTGGGAACGTGCAGAAATATTTTCACTACTATTTTCTTAGAGAGAGCGTTTTTCCCAAAATTGTATGATAAATATAAATAGATATTTAAGGTCAGCAGGTGCCCAATCCTGTTTACCCAAATGTACAGTCTACCTAATCAGCAATATTGTTTATGAAAATGTCTATGGTGTTCTCTAAGTTGAAGCTTAGTTTGGGAGAAAAAATCTGAGAGTGCAACATTTGGTGGTCATTCTTTCTTAGGTCTGTTAAATGCATCATTGTGATAGAAATACCCTGTTACAAGATAGTCCACTGAGAAAATCTAAGCTACCGGTAATCTAAAATAAAATTACTTCCTGCCTACCCGATTTTCTGTTAGTCCATTACCAGGTACTAGAAAAACAGATTTTTTTACCCATCCTAAATGCAGGGTATTATTGTTGATCGTAATTCTCAGCTACACAAATATTGAAAATTTAAATATTTTTAGATGTGGAATGTATGCTATCATTTACAGAAATGAATGAAATTAATGATCTTCCTTACACCAATTTGAGTGGCTCAATGACTCCACCGCTTTCTCCAAATGACATTGAGGAAGATGCCATTGATGGACCAGATAATAAAAGACAGCGACTGGAACAACATCAACACAGTGGTAAATAACTACAAATAGATCAGTCAGTTTATCACCATAAGTTGCTTTGTGTCCTAATTTGGGGATATCAAATGGGGTATCTGCAAACTACCTAATCACATAACATCTTCTGTTACTGCCCTTCCCATACATTAACAACACAGTTTGCTCTCTGAGCTGATGTGATGCATCACTGATGCGCAGAAGCTTTTTGTGGTGCAACTTCTTATGATAAGTCCTCTGTATGTCAATGCAGAAATGGGAATTCATATATTGATTGTAAGATTTTATCATTTATCATATTTGCAGAATTTATAATTTGGACGTGTCTCATCTCATTATTTTTTTTTAAATAGGGGGGAATTTGATGAAATTCAAACTCAATGAAACTGATTTGTACATCTGATGTTAACTAGTGTATGCTCTTTTACATTCTCAGCATTGCTATTGGGTTGGGTGGTCACTCCTTAAATTATAATTCTCCTTCTTTAACACTTAGTAATCTTTCCAACAGAGGTAGAGCTATCTCAGCATGGAGTCTGCTTTCATTGCCAATCTAGAGTGACTGAATCATCACCATGGCAACCATCATCTCA